ACCGAGTTGTAACCCGACAACGTCACCGGTGACTCAGCACGCTCGGCGCTGAACAAGTGCTCTATGGCCTCGGGTGCGTTAGTTGCCCATTTTCTGAGATGGAAGCCTTCCTTGAGGAGCATTTCAGTCAGCTGAGTGGATATCATTCTAGCGGTATCAATGGATGGGACGGACAACAAACAGTCGTCTACGTAGAAATTATTACGAATCGCCTCGGAGACTATAAGAGCGTAGTTATTTCTAAGTAGCTCCACGGTTTGCTGCAGACCAAAGTTGGCGCAGAATAGCGAAGATTTCGCTCCAAACACGTGCGCGTTCATTTGGAACTCCACCGGCTCCAATGAAATATCGCTACCCGGCCACCATAGGAACCGAAGGGCGCCTCTATCGTTTTCCGGAACGCGGACTTGCATGAACATCTCTTCTGTGTCAGCCGAAAGTGCTACGCGCTCTTTGCGGAAACGCAAGAGCACTGCTATCAGGTCGGCTGTCCAATCTGGACCTTGGTAGAGGTAGAGATTTCCTGAGATTTCTTAGAAGTTTCTTGTTGAATTGCGCTGCACAATCAAACACCACCCTCAACTTCCCAGGCTTCTTCGGATTGACGACAGAGTGATGAGGTAGATACCACCGAGGATGGAACTCGGGACTCAACTGATGTTCCGGCACTGGCGAAGCGTATTTCATCTTAAAGTTGCGTTCTATCACAGCGCTATACTGCTGGAAGTAGGTCACATCCTTCAAGAAACGCCTTTTCAAACTCTGCAGACGCATGGTTGTTACCTGCAGGTTGGAACTGGCACAATTGATATCGTCTTTCCATGGCAATGGGATAACGAACTGACTATCACTCACACGAACCTTTGCTTTTATGAACTCCAGAACGCGCTTATCTTCGGAAGACAAGGCCAAATTAGGCGAGTTTACATCTGCAAACTAGTCATTGTATAGTCGATTCGGTTGTTGCAGGATGTTCGGATCTTCCCGAGATAAGCAATTTACAGAAGGGTGACACTGCTGCTCACACCCTGTTGGGCATAAGATAGTCCATCCGAGGGGCGTTTTCAATCCAAACGGCTTTTTACGTGCCCCATGCCACTGGTTCAGTACCCAATGTGTGTCCGGTACGTCACGTTCTACCAAAATTGCGACACACTTGCGTGGTATGTCGGTGATGGGCAAGTCGTCCAAATGCGCACAGCGTTTTGCCAGTGCTACACGAGATTCGACGTTAACGGACGGCACAATATTAGGCACAACGAACGCTTTCTTGATATTGACCCAAGCGCTGTCTAGCAGGGATCCTATTTCCAAGTTCTCCACGCACGATTCGGATAGGCAGGTACCACTTATGGTCTTGATAGTTAATTGTGATGGGTGTAGCGGGATGCCCAGTTTTCGCAACACTTCGTGGCTCACCATGGTAGTATCGGAGCCATTGTCCAACAACGCGTAGACAACGAGCTCACCTAAAGGCCCTTTAATGCGGGCCGGGAGCAAGCCCAATGCTACCGATCCTTGATGTGCATTGGCAGTGTTACAGATGCCCTGCACCGAACGCGGAGGGTCAGACGTGGTGTGTAGCAAGTAATGGTGACGTGCCTTGAATTCAGTTACACCACACTTGCGTTCGGTGTTGCATGCCTTGGTCATGTGCCCAGCCTTCAAGCAACGGAAGCACCTCTTACACCCCTTAGCCACATCCATGCGTTTATTACAATCAAACTCCGCAAACTTCACGCAATCTGTTAATGGGTGCGGTTCCCTACAAAGAGGGCAGGATTCAGGTGTCCTAAAAACAGCGTTAACGAATGAATGTTGCCGTTTGATGGGTTGCTTGGGCAGGGTTATCTGGGCCGCGCGAAACTTGTTGGTTTGGTCGGCTATCGTGCAAAACCTACTATTGGATATCCTTGCTCTGATATCTATGAAGTTACGAAGATCTCTAAACGTCAGTTCAAGCTCATCCTTCGTTACACCATCGACGTATTCGGCCCACTTCTACTGGAGCGATATTGGCAGGCAGCGGACCAACCGTTCGAGAGTCGACAGGGAGTTCAGGTCGGCCTCATAACCCATCTGTTTCAAGGCTATTTCGCAATTCTCCAGTTTTATTGTGAGCTGTAGCAAATCAGCTGGAGAAGCCGAGAACGCCCTAAACCTTTCGTGAAGCCTATCTAACAATGATCGGACGACACAATGAGACCTGCCAAAAGGCCTAATCAGAATTTGGCAAGCACGTCGATAGGCTTCTGGTGGTGGAAGTACCGTGCACTCTTCAAATGGCCTCGCGCGCTCTCCCTCTGCAGTAATGCAGCAAGCAAAGCAACTTCTGCCCATCATCAGTCGTTCTCGACTCAACATAGAACACAATCTGACGAATAAATTTCAAATAATCGTGCGAACTACCATCCAATTTAGTCAATTCGTCTCTGGGGAGGTCCATCAAAGTCAAAAGGGCTAGGGTATAATTACCAGCCATATACCCTTCGCTATTGCGCTTAGGAGAGTGCCTCCCTAAGGGATACCCTTTGGTGGGGTCATCCCACACTGGTATCTCAGCCGATTTGGATGTGGTTGCAACTGGAAAATTATTAGCATCAGACTCAGGCTCGCGGTATGATAGTCCAAGTTCATGTTGCCTGTGGCATTCCTCAGCGTAAATCGCTACCCTTGAAGGCGCAGAAACTGCCTCATCATCGGCACGCGATTCATCCTCGAAGCAAGAGAGGGTGTGCATTAAACGAGCGGCTTCTACGTCGTTATCAGCTTTCATCAGCTGGATCTGACGGTCCTGCTCGTCCCTAACAGCCTGCATTTCCAACACTTTCTGTAGCT